TCAGGGTCTGCCCCGTAATTCCGGGCGCTGATTGTTCACTAACTGAGCCCAGCGATCCCATTTGCCTGGTTTTGTAGGTAACCAAGGTTACTACTATAGTAACTGGGATCCACTGGGTAAGGGATCACTATCAAAGAAACAGGAGAGAAACCTAAAGCTCATAGGTGACATCTCTACACCCCTTTCAAGGAAAAAGAGGCCAGATGGCCAAAAAGGTTGGATGAAAGCCGCTGATCTGGAGGAAGCCGTGACTCCCTGGACTCTCAAAATAGGTGCTTGTCAATCGTTCCATACCCCACTTTCTTTTCTCTTGCTTATTTTCAGGCTCAGTACCGGGGGCAGCTTGAAAGGGACACCAAAAGGAATCTGCTCATTTGTTTTGGGAGCGGGGTCCCGTATTCCACACCGGTACCCCAAACAATTGACGTTGGCTTTCCTTTTGGGTTGGGTGCTCTTTCTATCCAGAGAACACTATACTTAAAAATGCTTGAAAGGCATTTTGTTTGCAAGAACACAGCCACTATGTTTTTTCAAACCATCCCAAAACAGGTGCCCTGAGAAACGAGAGACATCCGAATGCCCGGCCAAATTCGCGGCCGGTGTCGAGGTGTAAGTCTCCAAGGGTGGCAACGCCAACAGCTCCAGAGGCAGCGCGCGGACAGCCCTCGGTTTTTGGTCTCTTCTGCTTGGTAATAAGATATATTGATATATATATATATACGCTGTAAGCCCAAACCACAACAGAAGGGGGTGGAAAGCAATACACCCGGTATTTTTCAACAAATAAACATACGTCGGGTTTGTCCTCAAACCTCGGGCTCTGATTTTGCAACCCGTGCCGAAGCTATGATTTGTCCGTGCCGAAAATAAGGGTTTCTCATGGGTAAATTACAGGTTTGGCACGGGCAAGTGATTGCTTCGGCACGGGTTGCAAAATCAGATTCCGAGTTTTTGTTTTTACACAAACGAGGTATGTTCATTTGTTGAGAAATGCCAGGTGTATTGCTTTACACCCGCAATATGTTTTAGGGTTTGGGCTTACCAGGCACCATGTGGAGTTTCCCTGGAAATGAGTGTCCGCATTTGAGGGTGCATGTGCTATAAAATTGTTTGTTACTCAGTGTAAGGGCAAAACAAGTACGTAGAGTTGTACTCCAAAAAACACATGGCTAAAGTGTGTTTTGAAGCCCCCACAACCCCATTCTGTGTTTTGTTGAGGGTACCCGTTTCGGGCTTTCAAAAGTAACCAAAAGGATAAAGACCTATTATTTTTACCGGTTCTACTTTGACACAGACCCCAACTTTACCAGGGTAACAGTGGATGGCAAGCTTTCATTTTTGGGTGAGAAGGGATAACTGGGGGAACTGCGCCTACCTTCCACCCAACTGTAGCTGATGATGCGAATGCCAAACACGAACCATAACAAGAACCGGCAACCAGGTTGTGGGGCGCAATGCAACCAAATTAACATATGACCAGTCCGGGCAATCTATCAACTGGAAGTAAGGGAGCCCTTGCTAATGCTAGGGAGAGTATGCTTCCCCTGCAAACAAAACCCCCAGGTTTCGATCGGCTAGGGGGATGAACGTGGGGCGTCTTCGGGAATATTAGGGAAACCACCAAAAAACCTTTCACCACCAAATGTGAAAAGTTACCCGTGTTCAACCAATCATCAATGAGTTCCACATACCGAAGCCAGCTTGTTCTTCTACTAAACAATGACAAAGGGTGATCGCCTCTTCTGAGTATCCCATGGATCTGCCTGACGAGGCAAATACTTCTGGGAACATCTCTCCATCCGATGACATCTCTCCTGCTGGAAAAACCAAGCTCTGCTACTACGTTTGTGGACCACTTGTAGGCCCTGAAGCTATTTCACGATCAGGAGAATGCCCTCGTTGATGGACGGAAGCAATGCACCATGGAATCGCTGCTGAAACTCTGCTTCCCTTGTTTCCTGGAAGAAGCAACCTTTCTATCTACCCTTGTGAATAGAATGAGGCCTTGAGCCAAATTGGCCCAATAGTCGATTGTGTGGAGATCAGTGGTCATGGAAAAGCAGAACACCACACCACCCCCACCCCAGGCACTCATCCACCCACCCATCCACCCACACCACACGCGTGCCCATTTTGTCGGAAGCCCTATTTTGATTGCATCAAACTAGTTTCAACGGAAACCAGCCAGAAATGCACCACCTTGAAGCCTGAAAGGGGCCGTGTGTGTTGAGCGAAAACCCAACTGCTGTGCCACCTCTGAGCTCAGCGACGTGGCCGGGCGCTCGCACCGCGCGCCGCGGGCGCGGACGAAGCCGAAGCCCGCGCTTCTCGCGAGGCCCGGCGCCGCGAGGCACAGCGCCAAAGTTTGGTGCCTCCGAATCCGAGGGGTTGGCCTTCAAAACCGGAGAAGCCAACAAACAACAAACCAGGCAAACCAACAAAGCAGAGAAACCAAGGCAAATCTAAACCAACCAACAAAAAGCCAACGAATCAGAGAAAGCAGCAAAGAAAGAAAAAAGAAAGAAAGAAAGAAAGAAAGAAAGAAAGAAAGAAAGAAAGAAGAACCATAGACGAATCAACACATAGACAAACAGACAGCCAAACAGGCAAACAGGCAAACGTTGCGTGGGAAAGGGACCGATTGGAGGAGCAAACTGGCTATAAACTTCCATTTGTTTAATTTAAGTCTTCAGGAAAACAACAGAAACTCCAGCAGTGACACATTCCCTTCAAACCAACCGGAAGAAATAAGATGTATTCCGAAACGCAAATGGAAGCAAATGAGCTCCTAAATTCGGCAGCTCGGATGGCTTAGTTTCAATGCTCATAACTTCCTCGCCGCAAATCCAACTCAAGGTGAAGTTCATTGGATTGGGGGGCGGGGGGGGGGGGGGTTGTCCTGTTGGAGGGATCAACGCGCGCTTGGTTTCAAAGGGAAAACCAAACGAGGAGCCTCATTATTTTTCTTTTGTTTTGGGGGGGGGAAGGCCGTCCCTGACGTTTGGGGCGACTGCGTTGTGACCACCTGTGACCTTCCGCAGCAAACCCTGGAAACAAACCCGAACCATAGAGTGCATGGTTTCTTCCCGACGATCGTCAAATTGGGTGGGCATTCTTTGGGTAGAGCCCTCATGTGCTCACCAAACCAACAATAGACGAGCAATTTCAAGAGTTCCTCCCCAAAGTGGTCAAGAACTGCATGCAGCACCACACCTTCGCTGCCAGTGTCCACAAAACGAAGCGCTGAGAAATGGCCCCGCAGTTGTCAGGCTCTGCTCTTGGCACAAACGAAACTGTACGCTACCTCCAATAGCCGACGATCGTGCTGCCAAAGACTATGTTCCGTTTGGGGAAGTCCCGAGGGTCCGGGTGAGCGAAATGGACACCACCCCCTTTCTGTTGCCAACAGGCACATGGGGTCAATCCGCCAATGGGTTTGGGCCGCTGGGGCACCAGAGAACCCAAATCGCTAAGGCCGCACTTCTTTGGTCAGGTTGTGGAAGACCCCCCCACCCCCAACCGGATCAAGGCACCAAGTTGGTTCCATACTTTTTGGTTGGCATTTTTGAAGAAACCCTCAATAAAAAGGAGCCCTTCGAAAGAGGCTGGTCCAAGCCATGCCGCCCAAGCTGAGATCCGGACCCCTGAAAACGGCAGCTGCGCCGCCGTCCCATGGCGAAGTTTCGTTTGGCTGGGAAAATCTGCTTTTTCCCCAACAGCTGAAAGCTATGGATTTGGTCTCTGCCCAGGAAGGCTCTGGGGTGGTTTGGGGCAGCTTTCAGGGGATTCCGGAGGGTTCCAGGGAGTTCCGGGGCTGTTGGGGATACCACCTGAATGTGGACACAAGAAGCCGTCTTCATCAAAAACCCTCTGATCGTCAGCTTCCAAAATTGTTGAGGGAGGGTATATGGGGTTGCGTTGTTTCAGGGCAAACCTAAAGGAAAACCACCTGTAGGGGTTCGCCTAGTCTAACAAACACAATTGTGATATGCCACCGTTTTCGCTGGGTCCTAGGTCTTTAGGTGTCCCTTTGGAGACGTGGATGGCACGGGTAACTGAGTAGAACCCAGGCGAGACCAGGGCCATCTATGTTCAACCAGTCTGACCTACAAAGGACACCGTGGTTTTGGTCGCACCTCAGACCACGTCAGTCCCATGTTGCTTGGAATAGTCATGGAGTTCTTTACACATGGCCAAAACATGCAAGCAAACAATAAGTTCTCTTCATGCATCTTACACACATGCATCTTTTGTTCACTTGGACAATCACTCTCATGGCCTCTATTTGGCTCCAATTTAGACATCATCCCTTGCTACAAATATGCGTTGACTACCCCTATCTGGCTGGCGTTATTGTTTTGTTTATGCCATGCTTCTGCGGATTGGTTCAGGGCATCGTTCCCACGGACTAAGCCATAATGGGCCTAGCTGCTTTCGAGCAGCGAAGGCAGGCGGCCGCAGTTCACAGAATCCAAACAGATGGCCCTGATTCAGCAGGGAAGCCCGTCAAGAGTAGTTGGTTGGCATGAATCCCCACCTTGATGTCTACCAAAGGGTCCATAATTAAATTTCATGCCTAACATTCATGCCCAACTAAATAACACATTGGAGCAAACTACGAGAGAAAGGTTAGGGGAGGGGGGCTCTTTGGATCTTCTGCGAATAGTGCTGTGAGTTCAACCCAGAGATTGAATTGTTTGCTTGCATTAGATAGCTTTGGAGACAGACATAACCCAGTATCCCAAATCCATAGTGGATTGCATGAGACAAAAAAATATGCACTCTTGTTGTTGGTAATTGTTGCAAAGGGTGTTCCGCTCCACCCCCCAACAAAAACAACCGCTTTAAAAACATATCAACATAAATAAAGCGAACAGAAAAAAAGGAAAAACAAAAAACAAAACAACATCTTACGGCCCCCCCCTTGGCTCCCAAAAAAGAACAGCCGAATAGAGGGCGCGCTGGGGTCTGGTGCATTGATCTGAAGGTTTTACACAAGCCTCGAACTCGCTGAGGCCACCCTTGGGGCGCTTCATGGACCTGCGGCCGCCCCCGTTGCGGACGCCCCTTCTGAAATCCAGCAGATCCCGGTTGCTGTGAAAAATCAGCCTGTTCAGCGGGGGGCCATGTTTTGTGATGCGACTCGCCTCGCCGCTGAAATGCACAATCCCAATGAAGCCCTTTGTTTTTTTTCAGATAAACCACATAAACTACCTACCAACCGGTGTGGGATTTTGTTGTGGAGAATTTCTCTTGTGATGCCTCGCCACAAAACTTGCTGGATGTAACACCCAAGCCGCGGAGAGAAGTAAGGCCATAGTTGTGAAAACTGCCCTTGTGACACCAACATGTCAGTCCCATGACTATATCACTGAATGGGTTCACTCGGTATGTGTTTGGAAGGACCTCTTTGGGATTGGTTTAGAAGCAAACCAAAGGAACCATCCATTTCAAGGACACGTCAAAAAGAGAAACCAACATTCATTGAGGGTCTGACTGGGGCCCTTCGTCTGCCGCAGTGAGTTTCTCTGTCTTGAAAAGCGGCTTGGAAGCCTTCAGGGACCACACCATCCACACCCCAGCCCCAGCTCTTGCCGCTGGCCAAACTTGGTTAATCTTGGCGATCCGCGGCTGGGGGTCGCCGATCACGCAACCTGCTTCGAGGTCCCATGGCGCCCAAGCGGCGACTCTGCGTGCAAATTCCATGCCGTGGCCTCCGCGGCTTGCTCGGATGCATCCTCCGTGGCGGCTTCTTAAAAGCCGCTCGCCACGCGGTTGTCTCTTGCAACCAGACCTGTTTCAGGAATCTCAGCTGTGATCTATTTGATGGGTCCCCATCTGCTTGCATGGTCCTCCCAACCTCAGCCGCGGACAGTACTACAGTTGGTTCAAATGGGTAGGCCCCTTTGTAAGAACAAATTGGGCATATTGGATTTGTCCCCATCCGGCACCTTCGGAAGGACAGGGTAAGGGGACAAGTTGCACTTGCCGGATGCAAAATTGCAGCAAAAAAAGGAGAAACAAAACCCAGACTGCTGCATTTTGCTGAGCGCAACTCACTGATGACACAGGAAAACATGAAGACTCAAGCAGCACCATGGCAGGGATCAGTGTAGGCGATAAACCTTGCGCCTTTGGAGTCATGATCTACCCCTTGCTGATTCAGCAGTATAGGGGGTGAATTTTAACAGGGCTTTTCGTGGATATCAAAATTCGGTGGGGATTCATGTCCACCCACTTGTGAGGTTGTTTCCGACTTGAGTTCCTAGCCATATCTGGCAAGCAACGGCCAACGCCATTATCTTTCTGTTCCCGTGCCCGTTTGCAAGAAGGTCTGTGTTTGTGAAGGTGCCTGCAAAAAAAAGTCATCCTCGACATAACAAGACGTCGTGTTTTTTCGCGGGTCTCCCCGAAAGCACCAGGTGTCACCAAAGAGCAACCAAATGGCCAAGACTGATATTTGACTATTGCCAGTTTGTTGGTTTTCCTTTGGTTTTCCTTCAAAACCCAACTAAAAAGGGGCCCCCTGCTTTGAGACAGTGCCCATACCCCCCCATATTCAATCCTGGAGACCTGAGACCTTCCAGACAGCAGGTCTGAACCGGTTTCCCTTTAACCCTTTTAGTGAGTGCCCATATCCTTCTCTGAGATGCCGCAGCATACCGCCAGCAGCGGCGAAGCTCATACTGAATCCCGTCCCATGCGGCAAATACAGTGAATGGACGAAATCCATTTTGCACCACTTTGAAACCAAGGGAAGCCGCACTGTTTGTTTGTACTTCCTGGCAATGATCATTCCAAAGCTTCTTAAATGGTGCGAAATGGATTTCATGCATCCGCGGCATCAGCCACATGAAGACCTGTACGTGCCCAAGCTGTGGGACGGTGCTCAGCCTCGATGTGTGCAAAGAGCTCCGCGGCTTTATTGAGTAGAAAGAAGAAGATGGATGTCCCGCGTCCTGCTCCGGCAGAGCCAGGTGCTCAATGTGCCACAGTCTCGATTGCATGCTTCCCAGGCCTGGAACCAATCAAGGTGTGTGTGTGTGTGCTGTGGTACAATTGGGGGGCCCCAACTCTGCGTGGGATTGAAAGGGATATGAGCCATAGTCACCATTGATTGTGTCCCGCAATGACATTGGATGTTGGTAACCCCCCCCCAATTCACGAATGCACAATTGGCGAGTGGACTAAGTGGCAACAGGGCTCCCTGTACGTGTTCATTAATGTAATCATCACCGGAAACGGAAACTCTGCTTTAAATTGGCCCCAAAGGCGTTGCTTGACCCAACAAGGGATTTGTTTGGGATGTTTGTTGGAGGCCTCGGGGATTGTTCACACCTTGCCGGGTGTAGTGATCAGTTCGACCCAATGGGTGCGCACGTCGACTTCTTTGAGTCAGTGGTATGGCTTCCCATCTACCCTCAAGAACCGGGTTCAAATCCAAGTCCAAACCAATCCAAGCCACCAATCAGCTTCCGTGGCTTGGATTGATGGTTAAGGAGCAAATCCAAACCACCAACCCAAACCACCAACAAAATGGTAAGCTGAACCAAACAGTTACCTTCACCAATCCAAACCAATCAATCAATACTCGTTTGCTTTCTGCTCCCCTGCTAACAGTTAACCTTTTGTGGTTTCCTGCAAAACCCATTAGTTGGCAAAAATAAAGTCCTAACGTCCAAGCAACATGCAACAAAGAATACTTCCCTGGCGGGGATGCACAGATCTAAGGCTCCCACATCTTCGGCGGCTTCCAGGCCACCAGCAAATCCTCCTCCTCATGCAACACCTGGCTTCCGGCTGCCAGCTCCCCGCTTCCCCCACCCGGGAGAATCGATTCTTGGTTGCTGTGACGACCCCTTCTGCAAAATGTGTTTGACTTTTTGTGGGTCCAAACGAAGATCCTCGGTATCCGATAGCCACAAAGGATTGCCCCTCACCGGGAAAACAAGAGGACCCCTTCCAATGGCAGCGGCTGGGAAAGAGGCAACTGGATGGCTCTCGTTTTGGGGTGGTTCAAAAGGGAAATGGAAAAAAAACAACACACAATTGTGTTCTTGTTACCCAATGTCACGAAACACGCGAAGAACCTTTTGGCAAATCGAACATTCACTTGCAACGTTAAGCGACAACTGGCGCGACATGGCGCGCCAAGAATGGGGGACCCCAACTAGAAGCTATTTTTTCCGCGGGCAAGCCCAAGCCGAGTCGTAATCCAAACCCGGTATTAAAATGGTCTACTTAGAAATATGAAAAACATATTAAAAGGCGGCCGCACCCCTTACTACCCTCCAATCACCCGGGTTTTGATTGTGACTCAGCTGATCTGTGATAGACAGGATGGGAGCAAAGACACTGGAAGTGTTGTGTGCAGTGTTGGGTTGTGTCTGCTTTGTGTTGTGCTTTCTTGAGCGGTGGTGATGGGTTGTGTTGTTCTATGTTGCGTTGTCTAGTGATGTGCCTTGCTGTGTTGTGTTGTGAGGTGTTGCGATGTGCTGTACTATGTTGCGGTGTTGCGATGCACTGAGTCCAGCTACAAAGCCACTGCCAGCGCCCCGACCGGTTCTCAATTAAACATGGGGCATACTTGGGGTCACAACAATAAGCAAAGCAGGTGCGGGAATCCGAGCATAGAGCAACAGGCCAGGAATAGGCACCCTTACAAGGTTGCTGAAGAGATAATGATCATGTCCCAGGAGATCTTTGAAGTCTTGCAGCATTTGTCACTTGCCCGGTGGCCAGCACGAAGGAAAAAACGCGCTTGGTTTGTTTTTCTAATCGTGGAGACAAGGAAACCAAGCCCATTGAGAAAAACAAAGTCCAGATTTCAGCTTGGCCCGTTGTCCCGAGGACCAGAGGAAGGTTCGGTCAGCTTTGGCCACTGGATAGACACTGGGCCCCGAGGCCCGGAGCCTTCTCGGCTCAGGCACAGTATACCAACCTGGAAGAAAGACGACATGGATCAGATAGTGCAGTCGATAAATTGGCGTGTGGCTAGATTGGTCCCTGTTTCCATAAGCCCCTCTCTGCACTGAAGCCCGCAAAAAAAAAGAAGAAGTATCGGCCTTGCTTCAGGCTGTGCCAGTAAGAGACCAACGATGCTCCACGTAGATGAAATAACTTCAAAACGAGAGATGGGGGGTGTCTTTTTTGGGGACCCCGTTTGGTCTTAAAGGAAACATATTGGACAGACCCAAATGAGCCAATACACCATGAGTGTTCGCTCCTTTTACCAACCCGAATTGGTGAATTTGCTCGGCAAAAACAGGTACAACGATCCCGTTCGCGCCTGAGGGTGATCCTCAGGCTTCGTCAGGGCAACCTGAAGACACGGAGATGAAACCGTAGCCATCTTGCGCTGTTCAAAATGGAGTGTTGGCCAATCCCAATCCATCTCTATTGCAAAACCTCCTACAAAGGGAACCAAATCCTTTGGTAGCCCAAGGCATGGATCCAAGGCATGGATTAAGGATTGCCTTCGAGCAGCCGCGTCTTTAAATGGTTTGGATCATAAGTCAAAAGAGTGCCAAAACGAGTAAAAGGAAAGGACCGACAAAGAAGAACAGGCGGAATCCACAAACAACACATCCAAGCAGTCTTCTAGACAATGCAAACAACCCGGCGCAACATGAACGTTCTGTGATCACTGTCGAACATGTCTTGGCAGTTTGTTCAATAAGCCAGCCCGGCCCTTGGTGGCCAGGCGTTCACTCCCTTCTCACCCATTCGTTCGTCAAGTGGATTTCCCAAAGTGTTGGTTCCCCGTAGGACCCAATCGCTCTCAGTCAATTCCCCAGGTTCGGCGCATTCAGCCAAAGGGGCCTGCAGTCAATATACGCAACCGCCACACATGCCAAACAAGGCATACAAGGAAACGAGGTGAAAGTGAAATGAGCAATCATAGAAACCGCCAGCGAAAGGTCAAGAGTAAGATCGAACTGAGCCAACTGATGAACAAAAACTACAAACGGTCACAAACAGCTGCGAGGCCAAGTGAAAGTAATGTGGTGTGAAGAACGATCACACCGAGGATCAAGGACCAGAATCTCAGAAGGGCTGGTTAAGATATAATTCAAGATTGAGATAAGCATCGATAAGGCAAGGATTGTTTTTTCCTTTCTTGAGCAGCAAAGGCGCAGAACCACAAACAGACACACACACACACACACGCGCACAGAGACACACACGCACAGAGACACACACACAGACACATACAGAGACACACAAACAAACACATATATGCAAAGACCAACAAACACACACACACACAGACAGACAAACGCACTCGCTCACATATTCGCGCGCACACACACACACACGCACACATACACAAACACACACACACAGACACACAGACACAGACACAGACACAGACACAGACACAGACACAGACACAGACACAGACACAGACACAGACACAGACACAGACACAGACACAGACACACACACACACACACACACACACACACACGAACACGAACACGAACACGAACACGCACACGCACACGAACACGAACGCGAACGCGAACACGAACACGAACACGAACACGAAAACAAACACGGGCACGAACACGAAAACACACACACATACACAACCCGAAACAAATAATACAAAATAAGAAAAACACTCACACACAGACACACACACACACAGACACACACACACACACAGACAAACAGACACACAGACACACACACACACACACACGAACACACACGAACACACACGAACACACACGAACACACACGAACACACACGAACACACACGAACACACACGAACACACACGAACACACACGAACACACACGAACACACACGAACACAACCCGAAAAAACACACACACACACACAGACACACAGACAGACAGACAAACAGACAGACGGACGGACGGAGGGACGGACGGACGGACGGACGTACGGACGGACGGACAGACAGACAGACAGACAGACAGACAGACAGACAGACACGCACCAACGCACGAACAGACACACACACACACACACTGACACCCACACACACACACCCACACACAAAGACACATGCACACAGACACAAAGACACACACACACACACGCAAAGACAAACACACAGGCGTGCGCACACAAGCACGAACACATACACACACACACACAGACACACACACACACACACACACACACACACACACACACACACACACACATACACACGAATACACAGAATCGTGCATGCTTGCAGGAAAACTCGTTGTGGCCCCTACATCGAACTGATTTATGCTCGTAGCCATCAATTGTCATTTGTTTGATTCCATCAAGGAGAGCGGCGGGCAACGCCGTCCAGCTCGACATGTGATCTGTGTTTTGCTTTCCAGCAACATAGCCACATTCGGCGATTCATAAGTGGAGAGACTGCACAGGGGCCCGTTTATAGCGGCAGCGAGGATGATCACCTGCACCCTTTCATGCTCCGAATCAGCTCGATGGCTCCATCTGAGTGCTGCTCTTTATTCCTTTCTAGTTCATATGAAGTTATTCAACCTTCGACGACCCTTCCGCGGGGCTTCCGCGACCTGCTCGGACAGCTTCCGCGAAGCGTTTCGTGCGACAACCACTTTTGCACTTCCTGGGACATAATTGAATAAGGGGTCGGGAATGAATGAATCGTGACCCATCCCCTTTAAATTGGGTTTCCTGTGGGAAAATGCCCTTCTTGGAATGGCTCTGAAGTGAAACCACCCGTTTTGTGGAGAAACCCATGGTTCCCTTTTCACTCGCCTTCAGAAACGAAGCGATGGCCCGCAAAGAGGTCCAAGCTTGCCTCAGCTTTGTGGTTGACCATGGCGCTCATCTCCTACAATAGTGTTGATTTGTCTAATAAAAAATATATTTAAAAAAAAAAAAAAAAAAAAAAAAAAACCGAGGAACAAACAAAAACAACAACAACACATCCATTGGGCAAGGTGAGGTTCACACAAGATCGCCTCATACCAAACATTCATTGGGTCAGCTCACTCAAACAACTTCTTGCTGAACTGGCCCTGATGCACGCAAACCACTTCTGACGGAGGATTTCCCGGGATTTGTTCAAATGTAGAGCTTGTTCATCCGGATTCACCGTGCCTATCAACGTCAACAGAATCTAGGCGGCCTGACGCCGCACCTCTGCGTAGGTGACCCTACAACATACCACTACGGCCCAAATACGTAAATGGGTACATGAAGAGTGAAGAGTATACATCCTGTACCAGGGAGTACCTACGCGGTTTGTTGTCATGCAAGTATCTTTGGGTGACCGACACCACCATGCATCCTGAGCTCATGTGAACCGCTGTCAAACATGCCGGTATTCACGGAAACGGGAAATTGAAGAAGTCCCCCTGTGGCTGAAAATTAGTGACCCCTCTAGCCTGGGTCCCTCCCAACATATCCTAGTTGCCAAGTGGCCCTTGTAGAAAACTTCTGGAAGCCTTTTTTGGGTGAATCTTTTGTATAGAGGTAGATGTGGATAGACCCTGTCTGCATATCCCTTCACACCGAGTGCTGTCCAGTTGCCGGCGCCTCACACTCACACCTCAGGACAGCACTCGCTTCAAAAGAAGACCGGGGTGTATCTCGTGGAATTGCAAGAACTATCCAGGCGATTCTTTTGGGAGACTGGACTCACCTGAGGCGAGTGTACTGATTTGAGCCGGTCATTTATATATCATAGCTTTCTGGAAAACCAGCTTGCTCAAACCTGGGCAATCCACGGTTCACAAACCGACACGGGAACTTCCCCAGCAAAGGTCTCGCTCATGTTACCTCATGAGGCCTCAAGAAATGAAATTTCACAGGTGTCGCAAGGCTCCTGTTCCAGCACCCGATGGCTGTGCCCATGGCAAGCCCAATGGTGAGCCATTTGATAGCAGCTCAAGGTTGGCTTCCCCGAAAAGAAAGTCAGACGGGAGGATTCTACAACTGTTGGAATCCACAAAAGGGGAAGACACCTCAGTTCGGGGATCCGAAACGGTGGATTTCCCGAACCAAGGTGGACTCCGTTGGACTGGGTCATCTTCCAGGTGACAAGCCCAAAGGACCATCAGAGCCGTTTGCAGATGACCACGGACACAAAAGGGGTAACGAGTGTTCGAAGATGACCCGTTAAGACCTGATTGGGCCACAAGCGCCTTGAATCCAACATTAAGACGGCCCGTGGGTACCCCTTGAAAACCATTGGACTTTTCGGGCGCTTTTGCACAATTGCTGTACCAAATGTTTCCAGCCAGGAAAGCCCATGTGACAGGCAAGAAACCCTGCTTACCTATGGTGGTAGGCAACTGGATCATAAGTAACGCAGCGCCCAGCCATGGAAACTTGGAACATGGCGATCAACACCCCAATTCATCCCCGTCAAACCACGTCTTTGGTGCGAGTGTCGAAATTTGCCCCAGCCCGAGACTACAAACGTTACCATTTTGGCATCATGTTGAGTTGATCTTGAAAGGAAGCTGCCTCAAAAACAAAAGCTCCAGTGACTTTCCCGGGGGGGAGGAAAGGACATCGGTGTGTTGGTTGAGTTTTTTGGAAGAGAAACCCTTGAACACGGAAAGCACACTGGAGGTGTGGCAAAGAAAAGGGGAGTGGCGGAAGCAGCTGGACTGCTTGCGCCTTGAGCTCCGCGCTCGACACGAGCGCGACGCCCAGCAAGGGCCGGCCTTCAAGGATGTATCCAAACCAGCGTTTGACCCAGGCGAATACGGGGTAGTGGCGTGGCTGATCCTATGAATCATTATATATATATATATATGTATACATACAAATTCAATTAGTGGAAGCCATTTTGGATTCGCCCCCCCCCCCCCCCTTTCTTCCCCAAACGAAAAAGCGGCAGGGCCGATCCGCCAATGGGTTCGTGCCTTCCCCCGCGAAAAAGGCGATGGCTATGGAGAGACTCATAACCCAAAACTCCTAAAGCCCCGGTTCATAGTTCAAGCATTGCCCAGTGCGTCATCTTCCCTCATACATTCCCTAAATTGGCGGTTATAGATGGCCCAGTTTAAAGAGGACATCGCAAAATGGACAAGCATACCACTTTCAATGGAAATGCGAGGTGTCGTATTCTCCTTCAGAGGCAACCACAGATGTGCATGGTGAAGGTTTCTGGCAAGATAATAGCCCCCTTCAAAGCCTAAGAAGGTAGCATCAAGTGACACATGTTGTCCCGGCCCCTTGAGGGTAAAAAGATGGCTGCCGTGAGCCACTGTCAAAAAATGCGGTCGGACCTCGCAATAGACATAGCCAATGTCCTGCACCTCACATTGATCAAGGAAATTCTGACGTCAGGAAGGCACTGGAAATGCAAAGTGAACCTTCCAATGAGAACCCCGGATTAATCAAGTCTCAATTGATGTGGAGTTTCCATTTAGAAGGGATCCAGCCTTGAGTAAACATAACTGCGTCCGACGAGTTTATTCATCGAGGCTCAACACTATGGCTAAACCTGGGCAACAACTGGAAAGCCAAGAAGGTCAAAAGGACAGGGCATGCCGTACATTGCTCATCCGTGAATCTCCCCTCCTGCTACTTGCACTTGAGGTGCATCGACCACTTGACGGCCAGAGACTCTGCTCTACTTGAAACTCATTGCAGGCTAAAAGTAGCTTGCACAATTCCCTTTGTATGGGTGGAGCAGATGATCAAGCCCAAAATGGCAGAATTGCGCCATCTACTCTCACCCAATTGTAAGCCAACAAAGAACTGGAAATCCGAAAATAACAATAACAATAATAAAATCGGTTTGGATGCCAGTCTGCTGTGGATCCCCCCTTTGAGAGTGCTAAAACAATTCAGGAGTGCAATTGGACAAACTCAGCTGCATCCAAACAGTGGAAGACGCAGCTGCAAAGGAAACCCGTTCCACAAAAAATCACCCAAAGGAAACTCACAGACTCGTGTGGATGTCTTTTTGAGGGCAGCCCTGTTTTGGTGGTGTTAAAGGAAAGCCAAAAGAAAAGCCACCATTTCCGACCGGATCAAGCCCACCTCCGATCTTTTGTGATATGGATCGCGGCAAGCCATGGGACCTGCCGAGAACAGAAACAAACAAAGCGTTGCCATTCGGCGTGCCTGTTTTGTTTGATGTGTGCTGTTGTGTTATTTTGTGTTTCGGGGCTTTGTGATTTGTGTTTTGCGTTCTTTTGTTGTTGTTTGTTTTTCTGGCGGGGGGGACCATCACGGGGTTGGTACACCCCTGTTTCCCAGACCCAAATAAAGACCTTAGATCATGAGTGTGTGTGTGTGTGTGCGTGCGTGCGTGCGTGCGTGCGTGGGTGGGTGGGTGGGTGGGTGGGTGGGTGGGTGGGTGGGTGGGTGTGTGTGTGTGTGGGGGTGTGGGTGTGCGTGTGCGTGTGCGTGTGCGTGCGTGTGCGTGTGCGTGTGTGTGCGCGTGTGCGTGTGTGCTTGTTGAGGGTTAGCCTTGGCACCTTGATTCAAAGTATAACCAACAGGACCATGGCAATCTGTGAACTCCGCCAGTTTGACACATGTATATATATATATATATGTATATTTGCGTGCTCTGTTGGGGTACCCATCTTGTGCTTGGTTTAAGGGTTCAAAGCGAAACCGATTGGAAACCCAACATGTTGACACAAAACATCGGAGGAAACGATGGACGAGGGGGCCTTGTATTTCTCTTCCCGGGTGAGTTAAACATCACCTTTGGGATAAGTCCCCTAACATCCCCCAACCTTGCTAATTCTCAAGCGAGCATGAGTTGGAACGACCCCGACCCTATTACGGTGGATGGCAAACATCTTGCATGACATTGGAGGCAAATCCATGCCATGTTGTTGTAACTTGGCCCGCGCCCCTTATTGACGTTGGTGCACAGTTTGGCCAAGTTGGGTTGGGTCAGGCAAGGTTTATGTCATTGGCTACCTACGAACATTCTCCCCCGTCACAGCACGGTGCAAAGTTCGACCAAGTTGGGGTTGGGTCATGCAAAAAGTATGTCATTGGCTACCAGCGAATGTGTTTGCGCGTCAAAGCACGATGTTGAGCAGGTGGCGCAGTCTTAGTGACTCATGGAAGATTTCTTCCATCAACAGTATGAACCATCCCCGGCGGTTACAAAGAAGGGATCCTAAATGGTTCATTCAGAAAACCTGATATTTCGTGCTGAGAACCAGCAAATCTTTTTAAGTCAAACCAAACATGCCCCATCGGACGCGGACCATGGCCGAAACCCCCCAAGGGGTCACAGTCCATAACTGTTCAAAACCCTAGTAAAGAGTTCTTGTGTGTTTGTTTCATGTTTATATGCATGTATACATATATAGACAGTTACATATATTATGTATAATGCCTCATACATATCCCGTTCCAATATTAAAGGATACCAACATGGATTTCAATCACCCTGTCTGTGGCACTGGTGGTGGACACGTTCCACCAGTTGGGATGGCTGAAGCCCTGTGACTGGAAGAAACCGCTTGCCGGGTGATGAGGCCCCGTGGGAAAGGGGCCTCTTTCTGTATCGAAGTGATTGATTCCCATCGCCCTACCTCGTTACGTTTGAGTGGCGTAACAACTGCGTGCCTTCCGTGGTTCTGAATGGGAAACCGACTCGGGCTAAAAAAAAACAATCGGGGGGGGGGGGGGGAACTTGTTTGAACATCTGGGCCCTTTTGAGCATGCTAGCAAAGTGAGAACATCAGACCCAAAACCCCGACTCAATTGAACACCAGCAATTTTCTGCTAAAACCTAAACCCGTACAGTCAAGTCTGTCCCTCTTTGAGCAATTGGAAAACACACACACACACCTTCCTTAAAGCTCGACATCCTGGGCCGCTGCTTGGATCATGAACTTCTTGTCAACGCCCACAAGTGGATACTGCTCTGGTCATGAGCTGTTGCAGTGGAAAGTCCTGGTGCACGGGTGAGGCCCCAGCCTAGGGTACACCAACAATAAAATGTTCGGACTATGTTGCAAATTTGGTTGACCTTAAACTATGACATCATAGGAGATCGCAGGGCTAAATCAGTCTTGAAAAGCTCCTTTTTGAGCAATTGTTTTCTACAATCAGCTTCTTGAGAAGCAGTTGAGCCACCTGACGATGAACTGTTGTTGTGCGTTCCCTTGTTCCTTGCGCGGTCCTTTCGCAGATTTCGTCCGTGAACTCCACGGAAAAAAACTGTTCGGCAAGAAACCAAATGTCATTTTGTGTTGTCCATATTCGATATCCTTTGCAGCCCTTTCGCGGTCCTTTCCCCGGCCTTTCGTGATGCTTTACTTCCGCGGTAGCACTTCAGGACCGCCCTTTACATAATTTAAGACATGCAATTTAGAACGGCCCCTCACTACCTGCCATTGAAAGGCATCATCTGGAAGCCCTTTGGACCAGTGACACTCATGTTTGCCAAATACTACCCTGCAAATTAACATGGCACCCAAAAACCATCACGCTTCAAGGACTCTCCTGTCCTATGTTCACTTGGGTGCTAAAGTTTTGAGATCAACTCCTGTGTAAGTGCTGCTACCTGCCTTAAGACTATATCTCTGACTCCAGCTGATGAACAATGACTACGCTCTTTGAGGTCAGATCTGGATGCCCAAATCATGATGTTCTCGACTGGTTTCAACGAACTTGTCTGAGAAGGCGCTTGGGGTACCCTGGAGTACCCAAAAGCCTGCGAACCAGCCTCCCAGCATGCGCGCCATTTTGCACGATTCCGAGGCATTCCCGGATTGGGATCACTCTAAGCGGACAGTCCACAGGAATCCAAAGTTTGCTCATGTAAGCTATGCTGATAGGATAAACATAAAAAGGCACCGGAGTTCTTACACGCCATTTGAGAAGGCACAGCATATCAACCCACATGAACCCGACTCACGCAATGTTGAGTTTGTGTCCTGTCTTTGGGCTCCTCTGGAAGTCCTAATCAAACTGCCTGCACGAATTCTGTGGCTGCTTGCTCTCTGGCAAGCAGCTCCTCCAGCGCTCTCGCCTGCTCTCGAACCTCCTCCGTGGCGTCGCTGAGGTGGCGCCGCTGTTCGGCACGCTCCTTCGCCACTTGGATCATGTCCTTAGCTGAGTCGAACCTCCGGCGCAAGCAAATGGTGTAGTGTTCCTTTTGGTTTCCCTTGAAACAACCTGAAAAGGGCACCGAGCCTCAAAAACACAGACTCAAATGGTTTGACTCTTCTGGGTAAACGTCACCAGCGGATTCCAGTCAGGCCATGGGATTTTGGCCATTTAAAGGGTCGCTGCCTGGGTTGCCTATCTTTGAAGGTTACCCGGGTTACCCTTTAAAGGTTCCTCTTGGTTTAAATAGGGCGATGCTTTTCCAAAGCTCCGAACCTCATGGATTCATACAAATCGATGCACGCATCTCGGGCTCTAAACCAGCTATCACCAATGCAGCACACACACACACACACACACTCTGCCACACACACACAAGGCACACACACACACACAACAGCTCAACAAAAGAAAGAGTTATACATGGCGCTTAAAATGGAAACTAACCAAACAACAGACCGCTGGAGGGGGCCCGTATTCTTGGTGGGCACAAATAAACACGAAAGACTCGACACCCAGTGTTGTAACGCAGAATAACGCAAACAAATAGATTGTAATCTTGGTTTCGGATGATTCCAGAGGACCCTACCAATCAGGGGGGGCTCCATTGTTTTACTATAAAGACATGGTTTGGTCGAAGGGTTCTGATTGGTAGCGTCCACCAAATTATATAATCCAAACTTTTAAGAAGACTCAACACTCAACCCCCCCGCGCTTTTGAGAAGACTCAACCCCCCCCTTCCCCCCCTCCCCGTCTTTTGGGCCAAATAGGTGGGAAGCTTCCGGAAGCCTTGGAGAAGCTTCCGGAACCTTGCGGAAGCTTCCAGAAGCCCGAAGCTTCGTGCAAAGGGGGCGGGGAGGAAGGGAGCGGGAGAGGCGAGGGGGGGAAGGGGAGGGGAGGGGGGTGGAAGGGGGCCCCGCAGCAAGCATTCAAAGCCTCGATTTGACATGTTGAGTGTGCAGGTGGGTGTCATTTCCGAAAAATTACTTTAACAGTGCTATAACACACCTGTAGCAATGCTGTAACATGTCTAAAAGGGGGGGAGGGATTTGCTTTCTTGAAACTTCACATCAGCATTTGTTCAACTCATGCGTCAAAATAAAAGGCCATGGGGCTCACAAAATGGATGTCGACTTCCTTCTCTTTAACCAAACCGCAAACAAACCAAACCCTTCGCCACCAAACCGAGCGCCCACTTGGACCTGGGCACCAGCAGCCGGTCCCCCGGCGCATCTGCTCCCCTTCTGGGCGGCGAGCGCGAAAGCTGGCGGCGTGGGGGTGACAGCCCCCGGCGCAGGACCTCGCGCTCCGCGACCCAGCGCTTGTGCTCCTGGCAGTGTGTTGGCTTGGAATTGAAAGAGAAAACCCAAATGCAAAACCACGTGTTTTCTGTGGGGGCAGATCCCCTTTCAAACACAGCCGTGTGTCCACATCGCTCAAACCGGCCTGAAACCGGCAGCAAACAACAACACGCATCTGCTCGGGTGCAGCGCGAAATCCGAGGGTAGGAAGCGTGGTCATCCAATGTTATGAATGGGGACTAGCCAAAAAGTTCTTGGCAGGGTCCAAATTTGGCCCGGCAAAACACTGAGTCATTGGGGTTGGGCAGGATGTGACTAGCAAACTCTGGCTTCCTTTAAAAGGAAAGGCTTCAACACAAACCCCCGAAAGGAGCCAAGTCGTGGGCGAAATGGCCCATTTCTGTGGTTGCCAAAGTGGCTGAATAGCCCCATGTGCCCTGGAGGTTGGGCAGTCGGTACCCATTATTGGCTTGCCGCAAGGGGGGGCAAAAGCGAAGCCAAAGGGAAATCAAAGGGAAATCACAGGAAACCACAGGGAAACCAAAGGGGAAGCCACAAGGAACACACGCTTTTTATTGGGATTCCCGCATTCAGAACAGGCCCCATGAAACTACAGGATTGGTCAAACGCACGTGCAAAACAGGGATGATGTATTTGCTGGTTGGTTGGTGGGCATGTTTTTCCTCAAAAAGGT